ATATTTGCTCAGTATGCGTAATCCGCGTATTGAGATATTTTGGTCTGTCTGAGATTTTTGAGATATTTGGGATTTTTGGGATATTTCAGATATTTGCTAAGTATGCGTAATCCGCTTATTGGGATATCTCGTCTGTCTGGGATTTTTGAGATATTTGAGATATTTGCTCAGTATGCGTAATCCGCGTATTGAGATATTTTGGTCTGTGTGAGATATTTGAGATATTTGGGATTTTTGAGATTTTTGAGATATTTGCTCGGTATGCGTAATCCACGTATTGAGATATTGGGTCTGTCTGAGATTATTGAGATATTTGATATATTTGCTCAGTATGCGTAATCCGGGTACTGAGATGTTTTGGTCTGTCTGAGATTTTTGAGATATTTGAGATATTTGCTCAGTACGCGTAATCCACGTATTGAGATATTGGGTCTGTCTGAGATTTTTTAGATACTTCAGATATTTGCTCGGGTCGCGTTCGCTTGGCCGGCAATCACTTGGCCGGCACATCACTTGACCGACACCATTTCGCCGACAAATGTTTTGACCGACATGTGCACATCGCCGAAATATTACGTCAAAATTTTTTTTAAATTCAACTACGTAATAGTGTGATTCACTGTTTGTTAGCGGAATATGGATCTAACTAAGGATATATATGTATATCGTACGTGTCATCTGTGTGGGATCGCAGAACAGAAGAAAGAAAGAAAAAACGAAAATACCAGATATAACTGTGTTACACTATAAGGCTGTTTTTCTTTCCTATGTTTCACTTATCTTTCACGATTTTTGTATAACAAACACAAAAATAGCGATGATATGTATTATTGGGTTTGCGAACGCAAAACACAAAAGGAAACGAAATGTACTGCAAGGGCCACTACAGTTTGTATTGTGGGCCAGCATAAGATTTACAAATTTGATGCCAAGCATCACAATCATGCTCCAGAAGCAAGCAAACCTGAAGCTTTGAAAGCTTGTATTCGAATGAAGGAGTTGGCTAAAATTAGCAACGATCAACCTGCACAAATCATTAGTAATGTTATCGCTGCAACATCGCGTGAAATACAACTGTGTTTACCACGAAAAGATGCTTTAAGACAACAAATCAAAAGAGCAAAACGTGTTTGCGACGAAGAAGTTGAACCGATGTACATTACCAGATGCATACTCTATTACACTCAGTGGAATGCGTTTTGCAAAAGACATCACCGATGGAACTGAAAGAATTTTGCTTTTCACAACAAGTTAAAATCTTAAATGGCTGCAAGAAGCAAAATTTTACATTATGGATGGAACATTTAAAACTGTGCCAACTTTGTTCCGGCAATTGTACAGCATTCACGCTCCTGCTGGTGGAAATGTTAATTTCCGAATAACTCCCTTGGTTTACGCACTAATGAGTAAGAAAACTGAAGAATTATATCCGAGATTATTTCAGGAACTCAATGAATTGGCAGACGAAAATGAATTGGAATTAAAACCAGACTTCGTGCTAACTGATTTTGAAAAAGGTTCAATCAACGCAGTAAAATGAGAGTTTCCACATGCTCAAAGCAAAGGCATATCTCAAAAATCTCAAATAAATCAAAAATATGAAATATCTCAACAATCTCGAATGTCTCAAAAATCTCAAATATCTCAAAAATCTCAAACAGACCAAAATATCTCAGTACGCGGATTACGCATACTGAGCAAATATCTCACATATCTCAAAAAATCCCAAATATCTCCAAAATCTCAAATATCTCAACAATCTCAAATATCTCAAAAATCTAAAATATCTCAAAAATCTCAGACAGAGTAAATATCTCAATGCGCGGATTAAGCATACTGAGCAAACACCTGAAGTATCTCAAAAATCTCGGAAAGACCAAAATATCTCAGTCCGCGGATTACGCATACCGTGCAAATATCTCAAATATCTCAAATATCTCAAAAATCTCAGACAGACCAAATATCTCAATGCGCGGATTACGCATACTGAGCAAATATCTGAAGTATCTCAAAAATATCGGAAAGACCAAAATATCTCAGTCCGCGGATTACGCATACTGTGCAAATATCTCAAACATCTCAAACATCTCAAAAATCTCCGACAGACCAAAATATCTCAGTACGCGGATTACGCATACTGAGCAAATATCTGGAGTATCTCAAAAATCTCAGACGGACCAAAACACCTCAGTACGCGGATTACGCATACTGAGCAAATATCTCAAATATCTCAAAAATCTCAGACAGACCAAATATCTCAATGCGCGGATTACGCATACTGAGCAAATATCTGAAGTATCTCAAAAATCTCAGACAGACCAAACATCTCAATGCGCGGATTACGCATACTGAGCAAATATATGAAGTATCTCAAAACTCTCGGAAAGACCAAAATATCTCAGTCCGCGGATTACGCATACTGAGCAAAAATCTCAAATATCTCAAAAATTTCAAATTGCTCAAAAATATCGAATATCTCAGAAATCTCAAATAACTCAAAAATTTCCGACAAACCAAATATCTCAATGCGCGGATTACGCATACTGAGCAAAAATCTCAAATATCTCAAAAATCTCAGACAGACCAAAATATCTCAGTACGCGGATTATGCATACTGAGCAAATATCTCATATATCTCAAATATCTCAAATATCCCAAAAATCTCAAATATCTCAGAAATCTCAAATATCTCAGAAATCCCAAATATCTCAAATATCCCAAAAATCTCAGACAGACCAAAATATCTCAGTACGCGGATTATGCATACTGAGCAAATATCTCATATATCTCAAATATCTCAAATATCCCAAAAATCTCAAATATCTCATATATCTCAAATATCTCAAATATCCCAAAAATCTCAAATATCTCAAAAATCTCAGACAGACCAAATATCTCAGTCCGCGGATTACGCATACTGAGCAAATATCTCAAATATCTCAAATATCTCAAATATCCCAAAAATCTCAGACAGACCAGAATATCTCAGTACGCGGATTACGCAAACTGAGCAAATATCTGAAGTTTCTCAAAAATCTCAAATATCTCAGTGCGTGGATTACGCATACTGAGCAAATACCTGAAATATCTCAAAAATCTCAAAAATCTCAAATATCTCAAAAATCTCAGACACACCAAAATATCTCAATACGCGGATTACGCATACTAAGCAAATATCTCAAATATCTCAAATATCTCAAATATCCCAAAAATCTCAAATATCCCAAAAATCTCAGACTGACCAAATATCTCAATGCGCGGATTACGCATACTGAGCAAAAATCTCAAATATCTCAAAAATCTCAGGCAGACCAAATATCTCAATGCGCGGATTACGCATACTGAGCAAATATCTGAAGTATGTCAGAAATCTCGGAAAGACCAAAATATCTCAGTCCGCGGATTACGCATACTGAGCAAATATCTCAAATATCCCAAAAATCTCAAATATCTCAAAAATCTGAGACAGGCCAAAATATCTCAGTACGCGGATTACGCAAACTGAGCAGATATCTCAAATATCTCAAAAATCTCCGACAGACCAAATGTCTCAACGCGCGGATTACGCATACTGAGCAAATATCTGAAGTATCTCAAAAGTCTCAGACAGACCAAATATCTCAATGCGCGGATTACGCATACTGAGCAAATATCTGAAAAATCTCAGACAGACCAAAATATCTCAATACGCGGATTACGCATACTGAAGAAATCATAGGATGTCGAATATAAAAAGATATTTGCTTCATTTTTCAAACGAATAGAAGATATTTACGTATCGCTTGCACTATATCAATTTGTCTATAGATCAGTATTTCAATGAAGCGCTGCATAGCATGCGCAAAAAGGAAATTAGATATCACTATCTTCTTATATTCTTTCTTATATCTGTGTTATATTTCATACACACTTTCCGGTAGAAGCGGAAAGTCAGAAAGTCAGAAAAGAGCATTTACCGGTGTATGTTGATATATGTATGGGTATTTTCCAGTGGACGCAGAAAATCAGAAAGTTAGAAAAGAGCATTTACCAGTGTATATTGATATATACATACACACTTTCCGGCAGAAGCGGAAAGTCAGAAAGTCAGAAAAGAGCATTTACCAGTGTATATTGATATATGTATGG